TGCTCCAATAATCTTTCTGGGTGTCCAGAAGGACTGTGACTTCGATGGTTGCGGATGCAAAAATTAGTTCATGGGAGAAATTTGGGGAGGCCATGGAGAAGGACCTTGAAGAAGTTCTGGCAAAAACCATTTGGCGAGTCAGAAAAGGAAAGCAGACCCTATCCCAGACTGTGCTTGGTTTGGTGGGAACAGCTGACCTGGACTGAGGATTTTGTTGAGCAGTGGAAGGATCACTTTGTGGATCTCTTTAATCCACCCACCATGTCTACGTTTGAGGAGGCAGAGTCTGAAGACTCAGGGTAAGATGAGTGCATTATCATGGCAGAGGTCACTGAGGTAGTCAAAAAGCTCCTCAGTGGCAGGGGTGGACGAAATGCTGAAGGCTCTGGACTTTGTGGGGCTGCCATGATTGACACTTCTCTTCAATGCCACATGGAGGACTGGGTCAACACCTGTGGAGCGGCAGACCAAGGTGGTGACTCCCATTTTCCAAAAAAGGGGAACTGGAGAGCATGTTCCAACTATCATGGGATCACACTTCTCGCTCTCCCCGGGAAAGTTTACTGCAGGTTGTTGGAAGGGAGGCTCCAACAGACTGTCAAACCTCAGATTCAGGAAGAGCAATGTGGCTTCTGTCCTGGTCATGGAACATCCATCCATCCATGTTCTTTACTCGCTTCTTCCTTTGAGGGTCACAGGGGTCACTGGTGCCCATATCCAGCCATTGCTGTGCACTCCAGTCCATCACAGGGCCACATTAAGACAAAAGAGACAACCATTCACTCTCTCACTCACACCTAGGGACAATTTAAAGTTACCAATCAGCCTAACATGCATGTTTTTGGTCTGTGGGAGGAAACAGGAGTACCCAGAGCAACCCACACATGCACAGAGAGAACATTCAAACTCGGTCGTGGAACAGTGGACTAGATCTTTATACTTGCAGAGTTGCTAAGGGGATCATGGAAGTTTGCTTCTCTGGCCTACATGTGTTTTGTGGATCTGGAGAAGGCTTATGACCATGTTCCTCGAGGCATTCGGGGTGGGGGGTTGCTTATAAGAGCAATCCAGTCCCTGTATGACCAAAGCAGGCGCTGTGTCCACATTCTTGGCATAAAGTCAAGCTCATTCTTAGTGCGTGTTGAACTTTGCCAGGGCTGTCCCTTGACTTCGATCCCATTTGTGGTTTTCATGGACAGGATCAAGGCTTGTTCATGGAGAGGAGGGTGTCTGGTTTGGAAACCTCAAGGTCTCATTTCTGCTTTATGCGAATGATGTGATTCTACTTGCGTCTGCAGGCCAAGACCTTCATTGTGCACTGGGGTGGTGCACAGCGAGTGTGAAGCGGCTGGAAAGAGAGTCAGTAAGTCTGAGGCCATGGTTCTCGACTGGAAATGGGTGGAATGCCCTCCCTGGATGGGGGGAGGAGCTTTTCCTCAGGCTCATGGAAGAGTTTAAGTATCTGGGTGTCTGGATACAAGCGGCTGAAATGGGCTTTTTTTGCAAGGTGGCCGGGCTCAGCCTTAGTGCGAGGGAGAGGAGCTCCATCATCCAAAGGGAGCTCAGAGTAGAGCCGCTGCTCCTCCACATCAAAAGGAGTCAGTTGAGGTGTTTTGGGCATCTGATTAGGATGCCTCCTTGACACCATCCTTTAGAAGTGGTCCTGGCACGTCCCACTGTTAGGAGTCCCTGGGGAAGACCCAGAAATTGCTAGAGGGATCGTGTGTCTTCTCTGTCCTGGGAACATGTCAGAGTCCCCAGAACGAGCTGGAAAGTGTCGTTGAGAAGAGGGATGTCTGGGTTTCTCTCCTGGACCTGTGTCCTCTGTGACCCGACTACAGATAAGTGGTAGAAAATGGAGATTTAGATGTCCCAATAATTATAACACTTGATATAATATTGGGCTCCTTGGCTGAGTTTAGTTTGTTTTCTCAGAGATCCAGTCTACTGCAATATTGCCATGAGCTGGGGGCACCACATAGAACCTACAAAGATGGCGGTATAAAGCCATGTCTCGTTTTTATAGATCTCACTGTGGTTGTCCATTCCAGTTTCTATTTTAGTGAGTGAAGATTTTGGTCCAAGAGTGTTGACTGTGGAGCTGCCAGGGAGGAGGACGAGATGAATACTACAGAGAAGGCTGATGGATGTTGGCGTGACATAGGAGGATGCTGGGAAAGGGCGAGATGAAAGGAGGATGAGGCCTGGAAGCTGCATCAGGAGGAATTAAAAGGGATTGTGGGTGTTGACAGTCAAGGTTGTTCTGCTCAACAACTTTTGAATTTTACAAAAAAGCCAAATGTAAAATCCACTTCAATACTTTCTCATTAGAAACTAGAACTGAGGGTCTTTGTAACGTAAATTGTGTTTATTTTCATGTCCAAGTCATAAAATGTAATGCTACAAAAACCACATATGTGCTGTCATCTGGGAGCTTCTCTTCCTGTTTACTGATGCTTAATAATTCAGTCCAGAGAATGTTTTGGCTTCCATCCATGAGTAGATGCACTGTGTGTGAACAGATGGGTCCATTAGTATCAATTTAGTTTTTGACCACAGGTTACTCATGAGTGCATGTATTGATTGTGAAGCTTGTTTTCTCTTATTCTTCCCACTAGTTTACCCCCCACTATAAAGCAGCATGAAGGCAACTATAAGGGGAACAACTGACTTTTGAAGCTTGCTGTCTCTTTCTCCATCCCAGTAGTGGCTTATTGAATTAGGCCAGCAAATATTTTTAGTCTCCAGCAGCAGTGGTGGAAAAAAAAAAAGCTGCCTGTAAAGCTGTAAACGGGCTTTCTGTTGTGAGACTGGCTTTCACACACAGCAGGAGAAGGAGTGTAACCCAAACTGACTGCAGTCAAAGCACCCAGTTTCCTCGTTTGGTTTGCCGTTGCATCAGATGCTTTGATGTGCTTCAGTTCTCGGCCCAAGTCCCCGTCAGCTCGGGGTTTTACTGCTGGGCTGGAAGCTGTGCGCATATTCTGGAGAAATTAGGCAAGATTACACAGAGCGGAGGGATGAGCTGAAAAGTGAAGCAGAAGTAAGTTTAGAGTACGTTCCAGAGTAGTTTTGCGTATCTAAAGCTTGCGGGCACATTTGTCTGAGCAGTGATCCTTTTTTTTTTTATGCATTGAAAGTAGAAAGCCACACAAGTGCAAAAAGCTGAGAAAAGTCATAAATATATTTATCCTGGCAAGTCAAGGTCATGAATTACTCATCTCTGAAATCTCAGAAGAACAAAAAATGGGTATGTTTAGTAAAATCAAGAAAATCTTTATTTTGGGACTGATTAAATAATTAATTTTTACTTAAAATCCTTTAATTTTCTCAAAAATCAACAGTGAGCCTCATAATCCGGTGCGCCTTATGTATTAATTCTGGTTGTGCTTACTGACCTCGAACCGATTTTATGTGGAACACGGAGCTCAAAAAGCTGTCAAAATGTTTTAGTTTCGCTTAACGCACCTTATAATCCGGTGCGCCTAGTCCGAAAAATACGGTAATTACTTCCTTAAGTTCGGTAGAAGCCTGTTAATCACTCTTTCATTCAAATCAGGTGTGTTGGAGCAGAGGAACAACTAAAACATGCAGGATGGTGTTCCTCAGGGACCAGGGTTGGGAACCACTAAAATCATCTGAAGTCAGTAAAAGCAACACTTCTCATTCATTTGATGCTTCTTTTTAGACATTACTCTCTTCTGCATGGATAGATGTATACTTTATTGTCCTCAAGGGGAAATTTGTCTTTGACGGCATAAATCATTCACAAACTTGTCAACTTGTACTGAAAATTGTTCTTTCCACCTTGGGCAACAGTGTAATCGACTGTGTGTCTGTCTGTTAGTAAAATATATTGTGAACAACAGGGTGGGTTTTAACAAAACTGTCAGAAAATAATCTTTTGATTTGCATGCACTACTGAATAACTTCTGTCTGCTTTGATTTATTATTATTATTTTTAATAAACTTGCTTTTTTCTCGTACTGAATTCAGAGTCAGTGCATAAAAAAATAGCAAAAATATATAATCAGTTTTCAAAATTAACATTTCCGGCTAAATTTCACAAAACTAGTTGAGAAATCATGAATCTTCGTTTAATAATCTGTAGATGTTTCTCTTCAGGTTTAGCTCTGACTCTTGCAGTCACACCTGCTCTTGGTTTGTGTGATTGCCACACACCTGTTTTAATTAGTCATCATCTCTCAGAACCTTCTGCCTTTTGGACAGTAAGGGTTTGAGTTTTTGATATTATAATTATAGTTACTGGTTTTATTAGTTCTTCTGCTCCACTTTGTTTGTTTGTTTGTTGTTACCAGGAAGATTAATTAATTTATTTGAGCTGCTTTTCATCTGCTGCTTCCCGCCTGCGAGTTCAACGTTCAGGTCCACCTTGTGTTCTGGTCAGTGATTAATATTTATATAATTTAAATACCCTGCCACCGTGAAATGAAGGTGATTATGCAAAGTTTTTTTTGTCTGTTTACAAAATAACTCATGAACAGCCGAACAGATTTTAATAAAACTCAGAACTGAATGTGCGTCTATGATCATTGAAACGTCGGTGTCACCTCGGCTGAAGATGGTCGCCACAGCTGATAACTTTAGCTAACACAAACATGGCTACAACTCTGTAAGAATTTTGTGTCTCAGTAGCTGAGAGTCAATATTTGATAACGTCATAAGTTAGGATGCTTGCCAAACTATGACAAGGTGCTTTGTGAAGGTTCAAAACACACTTTTTTAAAGATTAAAAAACATATTTTTATTGTCTTGATTCCACTACATTCAGGGATATGATCAGTTTTCTATCAGAGGAAAAAGATTTTGATGGATTTCTGCTGAGTCCAGCTTCCTCAGAGATCCTGTTGGTAAAGCTCAACAGGAGTGGCTTCATGTGAAGAGCATCTCTTCCTCCCTTTCCTCACATCCCCACACTCTCTCACCCCCCCCCCCCCCCCCCCCCCCCCCCCCCCCCTCTAATGTCTCTCCCTCTCTCAGGCATTTGTTGGGCTGCTGCTGAAGACGCTTCTTGTCTCCGGAGCTCCGAGGAGACGGATGAACATCAGAGGCACTGAGGTAAGTACGAGTGGGGGACATGGGAAGGAAACGGGCTCATGAGCTGGTTTTACACTGAAGATGATGATGATGATGATGATTATGCTGCTGCGCGCGCTCAGGGATAGAATCGGAGGCTGAGTGTTGGTGCTGGCTCAGTGAGGGGCTGCGGGATGTTGGATGAAGCTGAATGTTTCCACAGAGCGTGCTCACGGACTTCAGCTCAGTTAAGTCAGACACTGGATGGATACCAGTGAGGAATATGCTGCTGTGTGTGTGTGTGATGTTGTGAATAAATGAGGGTGTGTGAGCAGGGAGCGGATCATCCTGAGAGGAGAGAATATGTTTTAGCTCTACATGGTCCATCTTTGAACTGGTGTCAGTTTGCCCACATCACATTGTGTTGGTTTAATGATCCAAACGTGGCAACTTGTTTTAATCTGGCGTTTGATTTGATTCCGTATGCATTTAAAAAAGATCTGTTTGGTTTAATGCATTTTATTTATTTTGAGCTAATTCTCAGTTGGGCGTGTACTTTATGGATCAATGCTTCAACCAGTTTCAAGATGTCAACTGGAATTAAATTTAAAGATTCAGAGTCTCTCATTGTTTCATCAAAACATTAAACATAGCAATATATAAAATACATTTTTTTTAAACAAATGTTTTATGAAATTGATCCACAATCCAGTTTGTTTTAGGTAAAGGTTTCAAATTTTTTCCATCAGTTAAAGATCTTGTTTATTTTTATTGAAGCTAAATATCTGCTCTGAACTGATCTCAATAGTTTTATCACCCAACACTAGTGTCTGACTTAATTAAAGGTTTAATGACTCATTCTGTTTGTAGTTTTAGGTTAAGATGTGGAAAAGCTGAAGCCTGAGACTTGAATTTGTTTGATTCTAAAATCACGTTCACAGAAGTGAAGACCGATTTTTATTATATCGGAACAGTTCAGGTAATTTATTGTTGTTTGGCACTCAGTACCGTTTGAATGTGGTCTGCCAAAAGAAAAGGAACCTTCCACCTTTATGCCAAAAATCTGAACGCATCAAACATGTTTGCTGTTTGAATTTTAAAGAAACAAGCAGAACTGTTTGGATTAGGGATGCACAATATTATCGGCATGTATCGGTATTTGCCGATATTAGCAATAAAGTTAAATATCGAACAACGGCCATTCCATCAAAAAACTCACCAATTCTGTTATGTTAATTTTTTATTTAAGAAACTCTCAAGTATATCTATTAACGCACTACTACTTATGCACTTTTCACTTGTGAACAGGTTGAGTTTAGATTTGTGAAAATGTACAAATTTGCACTGTTCCAGTGCTTTTTGTGTTGGAGAGTAAATATCATGAATAAACATTAATCCAAGTTGAAGTGTTACATCATTTTCAGACCCTTTTTTGCATTTGCATTTGGTAGCAGGCCAAAGTTACAAAGACCGTGCAGAATAATGTAATATTTTAATTCCATAGAGGAGAAATCTATGTATCCTCTCTAAGTATGTCTAGGGGGAAAAATATCCGTATTGGTTTCGGTTATCTGCCAAATAAGTTATCGGCATATCGGCCAAAAATCCAATATCGTGCATCCCTAGTTTGGATCCATGCTTCCATGTCTGGTTTATTGTAGCCACTCCCTTCTGATTATTATCTTAACTTTTTCTTTTGTTCCATTTATTGAATCCAGTTAACTTTTGCAAACTAAAAACAAAGCTTTGAAACACGTTTTACATAAACACCAAATAAACTACTCACAAATGTCATCACATGTATGTTGGCTGCTGTCATTTTGGTCAAACCTTGTTAATGTGTTGGGAATAACTCTCTGCTACTACCACGTAAAACCTTAGCTGTAAAACTGACTGGGCTTTAGGCATTTTTGGATTTCTAAAATCAATTGGCTGCAGTGGCCATCTTGAAAAGAAGTAACTTCAGAAATAAATCAGCTGTTGAGTTTTTCCACTAATATCCGCCCAGTGGTTCATGAAATATTTTGTCAACAGATGAGACTGACTCGGATGAAGTTTGAAACGGTTATTTTTTCCCAGCGTTGTGCTCGGAGGCCATACTGAGGATGATGCTCAGCTACTAGTTCAATTCAGTTTGTGTGAATGCCATCAAGGCATTCACACCATTGTTTTTCTGTTTATATTTATTATTATTATTATTTTCCTAGTTGCTATCATTATTCTGTACATTTTTTGGAAGCTCTCTACTCCCTTATTCGCCATCTTAAAATAGACGTAAAGATGTATTGTTTAACAGTTCCAACTAATCCTGCCTTCCGTGACTATTTTTTAAAAACGCGTTTTAGTTGCTGCTTCTTTGTGAAGGTTAGTCTGTCATTTAATTATGTCAACGTATGAAACATTTGGTCCTTTTTTTTTTTTTTTTTTTTGTCGCATTTTAAATGTTCAATATAAGCTCATATGTTTTTCATTCTGGACTCAAGTTGTGCCCAGGAGACACCAGCTTTTATTTTATTTTTTCAATCAAACCCTGGCTAAACCACATCTGGTTAAAATAAAGCAAAAAAAGATTCTTCCCATAATCATTAAATCTGAGTAATAATTGATGATTAGATGAAAGTATTCAACCCAAACATTTCATTTAAATGCAAAATCAGGAGCCCGGGCCAATCCGGTGATATTGATCTCAGCTTACAAGGTTTCATGTGATCCCCGGAGGACGATTGATCAGTCGCTGCATGAACTTTAAGCTTCACAGGGAAACACTTCAGGCGCTGTGCTGTCGGTGTGAGCTCCGGCCTAAACAGATGGTTTGTCTGGAATGAAGACAGCAGGTTGGGAAGCCATTAATTCAAAGATGTTTTTCGGCCCGTCTCTGGTTTGCAACTGCAAACAAATGCCTCACAAGACGCAGCCCTCTGAGGCTCCTGTGCCCACACACACGGTGTGTATCATCACAGGAAAAACTCGGGGAACAAACAGTTGGCTGATGAGAGCATTGATCTAAAGCACCGACTGACAAGAAGTTAAATGTCTGAGAAACGCACACAGCTGAGCGTCGAGCTCACAGGGCTTTCATAATCTGGTGAAATACGTCCTGATTAGAACTAACTGAGCTTGAAATGGAGATTTGTCACAGTGACGTTTTTGTTTTTCATGTGTTTTGTAAGATAAAATGAATACTGCAGTCCATATCGTATTTGCTGCATATCTTTACTAGAAAATTGACTAATTTAATAAACACTGCAAACGCTTTTGTAGAATAAATCCAGAGTGAAATACGCTGCAGTCAGTTTTATGCTGTGATTAAAATTTGATTTTGGGCTCTCGTATAATACCACGTAGACTTTTAGTTTAGTAAAGGTTAGAAACCTTCATGTCCTGTATAGACTAGCATTTTGCTAGAAACTCTTATCTTTAGGAAAATCTTACCATATTTTTCGGACTATAAAGCGCTTTTAGCTAAATAAATTGATTTTGACAGAGTTTTGAGCGCTGTGTACCTCAAAAAATCGGTTAGAGGTCAGTAAGCACAGCCAGAATAGAATTGATACATAAGGCAAACCTGATTATAAGGCTCACTGTTGATGTTTGAGAAAATTCAAGGATTTTAAGTGCGCCTTATAGTCCAAAAAATACGGTAGCTTTCCCTTCCTTTAGGGAGGTGATCTTCTAGGACAGTGAGGCTCCATGATGAGTTATGGAAAGTTGTCGTGTTTATAATCTTTCTGGCAGCACCCATGAACAGTTGGGAATAATGTTGGAAAAGCTGTAAGCTCAACTTTTGGCGTAAATAATCAATTCGGCTGTTTGGAGTCACCATCAGAGAATGTTCTAGCGAGACTTTAAAAAAAGTAGAAACTGTAACTTACAAGTTCTGCCTGACCCAAACTGTGGATCTGGACCTGGCCTTGAAGGGAGACCATCTCAATTCCCCCTGGGACGTTATGAAAACAGACTCTCTGTCTGTCTCCTCACCCCTCTCTTACCCCAAGGCCATGGACATGTGACAGAACCTCAACCAAGCTGGATGATAACAAGCATCTCTTATCTGGACAATGGCTGAGGGGGGGGGGGGGCTCTGGACTATGCTGCGACCTGCCCTTAAAACTCAATGCCTTCACCAGCCTCATATGTATCTTTTCTATTTGTTGCTTTGCTGTGTTGGATGTTTTGATGCCTCAAACCTGCCCGGTCTAGGACATGGTGTGAGAGCTTTTTTTTATTTATACCTTTTTATGTTTTCTTCCCCTTTTCTCATCTAAGCCTAAAAGTATTCTGTAAAAGATAAGAGGCCGCACTCTTAAAGAGCAGCAGCAACGTGCACTCCGCCCATCTTTCAAACGACTGTACGGACATATTCTCGTTGTATCTTGGTACAATGATAATAAAACTTATTCTGAATCTGTTTTCTCTATATTCTTTCTTGCCTTTAAATCCTACCTGATCAGCTTTTGCCAACCCTGCTGTGACGTCTGTCAGACTGTTGGAGGACACTCGTGTCTGTACTCAAGCTATGGAGACTTTTGTGTCCAAGTGTTTCTTTTGTTGTGAAACTAAACAGGGAAATGTGTTCTCTGCTCTAAACCTCAAATACATTGTTGCATCTTCACTTTATGACCACATTGAATAGTACATATTTTAAAAATTATTAAATATTGCTTATTCAGGCACGATAGCTCAGTTGGTGGAGCTGCCTCCTCTGTGTTGAATGCATGACAGTCACCGGTTCAAATCCTGGTCCAGGGGCCTTTCTGGGTGGAGTTTGCATGTTCTCTCTGTGCATGCGTGGGTTTTCTCCAGGTACTCCAGTTTCCTCCCACAGACCAAAAACATGCATGTTAGACTGACTGGTAACTCTAAATTGTCCCTAGGTGTGAGAGAGAGAGTGAATGGTTGCTTGTCTCATTTGTCCCTGTGATGGACTGGAGACCTGTCCAGGGTGTCCCCCCTTGCACAATGACTTCTGGATATGGGCACCAGTGACCCCCTGACCCTGACGGATGGATTTCTTGTTCAAGTAACGAGGTATAAAACCTCATCAATCCTTAAATGAATGCACATCACTGGGAGCTTTTTGTGCCAGAGTTCAACTCCAATTAGTTTTAGCTGCTTTGGTCAAGAAACTTTTGCACAATCTCATGATATTAAGAGACGTCACACTCAGGATGCTTGTTAGGGGCGACCCTCAGCTACTATTTATCATTAACAGTTTATTTCAGTTATTGCTAAAGTTTATTTGAGACAAATATTTTGCTCAATGTGAAGCACTTGAAGATGGTGTTGTTATTGACACTCTGCTACAACTGAATCAAATTTCAGCTTTAAGTCTGGAAAACTGCGTGAATCTGAACCATTTTTGAGTTCTTTATGGTAAATTCTCTTCTGGAGAACTGTGGTTGGCGGCTCATACACCAGGAAGGCTGGAGAGCATTGGTAAGTTCTGGTCATTTGGCTGCGACGACCATCTTTGATGGGGTTTGCTCTACAAGTTCATCAGTCGTTGAAATGTATCAAATTAATTTTCCATAAATTCAAATTAAAATCTCTCCTGTGGTTCATGAGGTATTTTGCTAACAATTAATTAGCTGTTCAGACTCAACTTTAGATTTTAAACCAGGCTTTATTTGTCAGTGGCTGAGATTATGTTTGGAGCCAGTCTTTGCTACTCCACACAAATAAGATGAACTTTATCGATCCTGCAGAAAATAGTTGTAATTGGTCAATATCTGTAAAATTTCTACAAGTTTCGTTTAAATGTGTGTGGTGCTTTCAGATGCTTTTGCTAACAGAGGAACCCAAGCAAATCCTTATCGTTCACCTTTTGTCTTTTGGTGTTGATCAATGAAAAGCACCTGATTTGTATCAATGCATAACACCCGGTCTATTAAAACACGTTTTAGGTTTATCAGATCTCACCAGTTTTTATTTAAAATAGGTTAAAAATAAGAAGTTATTAATGTAGTATTGGAAAAAACATTTTTCTTGAACTTCATTAGAATTATAGTTTATGATTTGAAAAGTATTATATAAAGTTTAGTGAAGGAGCAGCCACTTTACTCTCCTTTTGGAAAACTTTTATAATAAACAAGCTTTTAATGGTGTTTTGGTTGGATGGTGTAGCACCAAACAGCCACAACAGAAGATGTAGAAGATTAAAAATGTACACACTGTATCATGTAATGGAGGTCTAGGAGGAACATTAAATGTAGCAGAAAACCAGAAGAATTTATGCTTCATCTTGTTTCATCCATCCTGGTCCTCCTGACAGAAGATGGGGGGAGGGGGACTGATGGAAGATGGAGTCCACCGGTGAGTTTCGTATGGTCCAATTTATCTCTCTGTCTTCCTGCAGCAGCCTCCAGACTCTGAGGACGGAGCACAATAACACGCAGAGGAAGACTGACGCCGATAAAGGAAAGAGGACAACTCCAGAGAGGAAGATGGCTGACAGGGAGCCGGAGCCTGTGGCTGAGGCACCTCCGCTGCAGGAGGAGGAAGAGGAGCAGCTGCAGAGCTCTGCGGAGACGGCTGAACCTGATGAAGGGTCCGAAGAACCGGATGAAGTCATGAAGCCAGCCCGACCTCTGCTTTCCATGAGGTCCATGAGCACCGTGGACCCGGACGATGACTACCCCAACATGACTGTTTACAGGAAGGTAAGAGCAGGAGCTCTGATGATCTGTTGGTGCTGCTCAGAGATAATATTTTTTGGTCTTGCACATCTTTGTTAGACACAAAAAATGAGAAATGTGAGGGAATCGGAGCATCACACAGAGAGAAGTTAATTTTGAAGCGGTGGACCAACCTGGCTGGTGAACTTGAGCGTTGATTTCCGGCTGATGCATGCACAGTCTTGTAAGACTCGGAATGAGACATCGATTCAGAAGGATATTTTCAGAATACAGAAATTTCTGTAACATTTAGTAATAGTTTACTGTTTTCAGGTTTAGTATCACATTGTTGCATACTGGACCATGTACTATTAAAACCAGATGTTTAAAGACACAACCAGTGTTTTCCACACAGCCCTGATCTCAGTCACAGAAAAGACCAGTTCTGTCAGGAGGAATGGACCAAATGGGCTGTGTTGTGTATAAGGCTGCCTTTCCAACCAGGATACACACGGTGCTGTCCAACACGACCTGTGCCTTCATTTATCCATCCACACACATTCATACATCCCTCTACCACATCTCTACAAAGCTGATCTGAATCAATCACTCTACAGAGACTAATCAAAGTTTTAGATCACATTTATACACCGATGAGAGACGCATCAGAAGCAATGAGGGTTTCGATGGCTTGCCTTTGGATTTCGACATGTGACTGCACACTGGTAGAATCGAACCCCCGACTCTCTCAATAGGGAATGACCGCTCTTCCATCTCAGCCACAGCTGCCTCAAAGACTCTACAAACTATTGGTAGTGATAGTAGTGATTAAGTGGTAATGTACCGATGATGATGAAATGTTACCAAATATTACGACAAATGGATGCCGATTTTTTATTTTTTTTATTTGTAAGTGTATTTAATCCTTTGACTGCCTGGTCAACCAAATGGATCATATGTGTCAAACTCAAGGCCCATGGGCCGAATGTGGCCCTCGTTGACATCTTTTCTGGCCCCCAAGATGTTATTTAAAATGTAAAATACTTTTTGTAGCTTTTTTTTTCCAGTAATCTTTGATTATGATGTCAAAAGTGCAACAGAGAATGTCAAATGAGACCAATCAAACTCTTGAGGAACCTGCAACGAAGAAAAGATGTTGGATATCTAACTTGAGTTAAAGTAGATTCTAAAACTGGCCCTTAGTTTGAAAAAGGTTATAATTTTAGCCCCCTTTTTGTAAGTGGATTTGACACCCCTGAAATAGATGATTACATTTTGAGTCACTAAATTTCAAAGAAGGGAGTGTCTAAATGACTGAGCCCTCTCTGCCATTCGGTTAAAGTGTGTAATGCTAAAAAGATCCACCAGATGGCACTGTGACAGTAAACAGAAGGTTCATGTTTCCCTCCTCCAACCAGGAAGTAAAAATCCAGGACATCAAACATTTCGTGACTGTTTTTGGGTAAACTTTAAAAGGTATGGATACTTATTTTTTACATATTTTGGAGCTAAAGCCTTACTAAATAGAATTATGACCCTTGATACAGCACAAAAAGAACTTTTTTTTATGTGCTTGACCAAATGGTTGATTTGTCAATTCATGGTATAGGTAGGAAATTTAAGCTCATTCAGTTCAATTTATTTATACAGCGCCAAGTCACAACAGAAGTCATCTCAGGGCACTGCACAGAAACCTTCACATACATAAAAAATAAGTTAATAACATTATTTATCTGATAACTTGCTATAAAATCAACTTACTCAAAACATCTAGTTTATCTATTTCTGTAAATATGACTAAGGTGTTAGTACATCATGAATATGCTGAAGGAAATTTCCTACTCCTCTTTGTTGCTTTATAAGTTGAATTAAGTTACTATGATTAAAATTGAGAAAAACCTGTAGAAATCATCAATACTATTTTAATGAAATAAGATTAGCTGGTGTACTTGTACTACTAGCTCTGGTAGAAGTTGTTAATTATTTAATCTTTTTAGCAAGTTTCACATAATGGACACTAAAGTGTTGGATATGGTATGTAATAGGAAAAAAATATATCATTATCAGTCAACCAAGGAATAAGAATGGGATTTTTGTTTTTTTCATAGTTTGTCTTTTTGGGGTAGTTAAATGGTTTTAACCAAAAATATATATTTGGGAACCCTAGCTGACCTAAACCAGGAAAGGTTTTAGGTCAGTTTAGTGAAAAATGGTCTTTTTGTACAGCGTATGTATGCCATCTATTTTATATTTTTAAATCCACTTCCACAGAACTTTGTGGAGTCTGTTTCATCAGTTTCCAAAGCCATTCTCATTCTAGTATTTTCTAGCGACGTGTGGTGACTTCCTTTTTTCCCCCTTCGTGATATTAAATCAAGTTTAACTATGAATCACACCACTTGCACATACAGATTCTTGACATTAGTGATTAATTATCACTGAAGAATTCAGTTTAAATGGTATATAAAACATGAGCCGGGCCACTGCTGCTCTCGGTGGACTGAGGGTCCGCCTCATTAACTTTAAAGATGGAGGAAAATCCTGCTGGATGCTGCTCCTCGAGGACCACGTCTGTTCTTTACAGCAGAATCGTCTTTACAGCAGAATCGTCTTCACAGCGCTGATATTTTAAGTGAATATAGGAGTAGCGATTCAGTTGTATTCCATCAGGAGGCTTGACTCTGAAACCTGGCCTCATTGTGTGAAGGAAATAAGTTTATAAAGTTTGTCCTCCAGTAACCGGTGTTATATGTCACTGTGTCACCCATAAGTGGGGGAAAGGGTAAAACAAAAATCAATTTCAAAAGCAATTTATTTTAGATGGATTGTGCCAGTATTTAACAGCAAGCAGCAGGACTGTTTTACCTGCTGAAACATGCTGCATGGGAAGATGGATGTAAAATATACTGTATTGTTCACTGTATAAGTCGCGTTATTTTATTTTATTTTTTTGTATGATTTGCATGCCCTTTGACTTATAGGAAGAAGTGACGTATTTATGGATTTTCCCCATATTTATAAACCAATTTTTGGCTGAGATGTGACAGTTTTCATTCATTCTGAATGAATATTGAGCACTACCATTTTCAGCCACTAGATGGCAGCAGAGTAGTAAGGCATGCTGTTGTATCATGTAATAGATAAACGTGGCTATAAAGACTAATTTTTAAAAATCAAGACAAAAACAACTGGACTTTATTTATTCTACTTTACTTTATACTTTAATATTTTTGTCTTGAACTTTTTAGAATTTACCGTATCCTGGATGACTGAGAATCTTCACCAGCTATTAATGACACAATCTGCTTGCCATAGATTCCACCTTCGTTCTGCTTGATGCTTGGAGCAAACGTCAAATCAGCTTCATTTTGCTGCACCACCCTGGCAAAATGCAGCCAATTAGACCATTATAGTGCATTTATTAAGTAAAAGTTCAACTGAGACACACCTTTACTATAATTTTGAGCAAACAAATAATTGTTTTTAGGTGTTAATGTTATTAAATTTTTGTTAAAATCCTCCCGTGCACGCTCCCATGGCTGCCATTTGGCAGCCCATCGATTTTTGGCACAACACCGGCCCACATTTCCAGCTCATCAGTGGTGACGCGAAACAAACGCGACGTGTCCGCGGTGACTCGTAATAGATGCGACTTATACAGCAGTGCGACGTGTACGGTGGAAAATACGGTAACTATTTGGTATTTTTATTTTAAATTTCTAATAACAGTAGAAATGTAGTTTTTACGAGCTGCATCACATGCAGGTAAGATTTGTTTTCAGAGCCACTTGAGGCAATTCAAGGCTCAAATAACAAACTAAAATATTCAGCTTTAATAAAAATCCATACGTTAAATCAAATAAATAATTAAATAAATCAAGAGGTTTCCTGTAGTGATTCCAGCAGAGGTAGCTGGGTTTGAAAGTTTGAATGTTTTCCTGTAATCAGAAATCTGATCTGACAAAACACAAATATTTTAAATCAAACATTTCTTTTTTCTTTTTGAATCTTAAATTTTTATTAGATTTAAATTGAACCCGATTCTTATTTTTAGTCCGAAACTTGAGATTTAGACGAGCAGTTTGGAACAGATTTGTCAGCTGCCTCAGGATTTATTAATAAAACGCTGATCTGTTTATATTTAAGTCTTTTTTTTTTTTTATGTTAAATTGTTTTTACTTGTGGACATGAGGGCTGGATGAAGTTCTGGCCCTTGAGCTACATTTACCCGTATGTGCGCTGCTTTGTGCTGACTCTACATTAAACGTTTGAGTGAAGAGAAGATATTGATGATGATTTAATTTTTTACTGCATATTCAGCAGGTCTAAGTAAATATTTTCATCTCCCAGCTGCAGCCCTGCTACTTGACAGGATAAAGTCTCTAAAGTAGAGCTCACAGATTGAAAGTTTTACTAACTGAGGGGGGGGGGGGGGGGGGTTACTTTCTTTATGCTGCACGCTGTGCTTCGGCTCGTTTCTGACTGCAGGAAGTTCAGTAGGAAGACTCTGGAGGAAGTCGAATCTAAATTAAACAAAGTTAGAGTTGAAAACTTTTAACACTTTTTTTTTCACAAGAACCAGAAAGGGAGCCGACGTCATATTTATTTAAAATCTCTGCATTGTCTACGTGTATGTTCTAGTTGATTTAAGTTTGAAATTTGTTTTTTAGG